TTCCTCCAAGGCCGCTAGCTTTTTCTGCTCTTCTTCAACCTTCTTTGTTTCCTTTGCCTCATTTGTTTTCTTCTCTTCCTCAAGCCTTCGAAGTTCCTCCAAGGCGGCAGCCTTCTTCTGCTCCTCTTCCACCTTCTTCTGTGCTTCCTCAGCCTCTGTTGCTTTCTTCGTGTCCTCAAGCCTTCGAAGTTTCTGCTCCTCTTCAACCTTCTTTGCTTCCTCTGCCTCTGCTGCTTTCTTCTCTTCCTCAAGCCTTCGAAGTTCTTCCGAGGCCGCTAGCTTTTTCTGCTCCTCTTCCACCTTCTTTGCTTCCTCTGCATCCTTTGCTTGGTTCCCGTCCTCATCAAAGGCCGCTGCCTTCTTTTGCTCCTCCTCCTGAAACTTTTTGAGCAATGCCAATTGTTCTTCGTACTCCCGTCGTGCTTTCTCTAGTTCTGTCTCTTGTCGTGCTTTGCTTTCCTCTGCTGCCTTCTTTGCATCTTCGAGCTGCAGTTGCTGTCTCGTGCGGGCCTCTTCGATCTCATAGGCACCATGTGCAAGTGATGACATCTTGCCACCATCTTCAGAGTTTGTGTTGCCTGTGCTTTCTTCACTTTCCTGTCCAGGTTTCAGGTCGAAACTCATGGCTAGGTGGTGGAAACTAGATCGATATATCGAACGGTCGAATGAAACAAATAAAGGAACCGGTGGTGAACGCCTGCAAACCCGTGAATCTGCGAATTGACCTTGTTCGCCTGGAAACTCCATGCTCCTGACCCAATGACTTTCTTGGAAGTCCTTTTACTTAAACTCAACCAGTCCTGGTAAATCATGGAAACCAACATCTTCAGCTTGGCTCTTGGGGAATCTTTTGTCCTGATCCAAAGTGGTGTCAACCGACATTGCAAATGAAGTTCACTAGTCCTGCAACTTGTAGTTCTTCCATGACTAGCAAGTATGCGAGAGGCCAGAGCGCGGTGAAGATTTCCTTCAGTTGTTGCCCACTCCTAGGATAGAAACTGATGTGTGATATGGCGTGATGCGTCAGGCTCACACCAATCATTTGAGGGTCTGACCAAAACTTCTTCAGTGACGGTCTTTTGCGGAACGATCGCAAATTCAACCGCCACTTGCGACAGGGCATCCTGAACACGAGATGTTTAAGCCTTAACAACCAAACACGGACAAGACATGGCTTGTGAAACTCGCCTTGACCTCCGCCTCCGTTGGCACATCAAGTGCAAACGTGGGGAGCCACTCCACCGCAAAGTTGTAATTTGTTTCGCAAGATACCTGGTTCTAGTAGTTGCAAATAGATGCAAAACAGCAGGTGGTGGGATTGATTACTTGCCAGTGCAACGCTGGGGCACCATGGCTTCTGTAAGGCCCTTTTTGTCATCCAAGTCGATGAAAGAAAAGGTGACCGGTACCTGCAAACATGCTGTAAATGATGAACAAACCACATGTTGAATCCACTGAAAGAGCTGCAAAGTAAAAACTGGTCAGGAGAACCTTCTTGTCCAAAAGAGCCCGTTGGATTCGTTCCGTACTATGTCCAGCTTTCCGAGCTAGGTCCGTAATCCTCCGTGTTTTGAAGTCATCCTGCTGGAGATAGTCCCTGTAAAAGTCCTGGCCATGTGTGGTAGACTAGATGTTGGGACATGGGTTCCTGGCAACTGTCCTTAAGCAGCGCCACCCGCCGCTCACAAGGCTTAATGGTTGGCATGGCTTGTGGATGGCCAGAACAAGATTGTGTGCTGAGCAGCTGAGGGAAGCAGCAAGGGACACGGAGCTGAGGGAAGGTTCAATGAGTGATCCCACACGGAAGTGAATGAAACTATAAAATCACAACTAGCTGAGCACCTTCATCCTGATCTCCTCCAAGTTGAAGCTTCCCTGGGCTGGAGGTTCCCAGTTAGTATGTTAAGATGGTAGCAACAATGAGATCTCCAAACTCAGGCCAAGACTTTTTCTTATAGCCTTTCGCATACCCCATGCGTTCCATGGCTCAGATGAGGTGGATACGCATGTGAGTTCAAAGATGTTCAAAGGGTCACCTTGGCGTCCCTCATGACATAAGGAAAATCACACCGCGTTTGGCCTGACATGTTCTGCCAATGGATCGGTCGGCCATGCAAGCAAAAGAAGAGTGAGCACACTGGAAGGAAGCTTGGGCGGGAAAGAGCCAAAGTGAAACTCAGTCGTTAGTAGTAAAACATGGTCGTTGCGTGCTACGAAGTTAAACTTCAACGTTGACCTCTAGGGTGTACAATATACCCAGTATTACCCAGTATATCCCAGTATCATCTTCGAACCAGTGTCATTTTTGGTTCCGGGATCTGCTGCTGCCAGGGACAGTTCTTCCACACATCTCCGCACGTCCCAGCACATCCCATCTCCCTGTGAATTCCTGAAAACACCATCCCCGTTGCTACCGGACAGTGAGGTCCACCACCACCCCATTTTATCAAACAAATGGTTGTCTAAAACAACTGTTCACACTTCAAAGGTCTGCACAAGTCATTTTATCTGACCAAAGATATCAAAATGGTTTCAAACACATCTAGCTAATTATATTTGACAAGTTGGCAAATCTGTCGCTGCCAACCAGGTTATTTAACCATATTTAACCCATTTTAGATAACCTTAAACAACATTAGTCCAATCAAATGTAGATAGCCGGTAGCAACGGGGCCGGGATAAAACATCTTACAACTATGAAGTTGAGCACACGCGCTTTTCATTGGGGGATTCGGATTCCACGCCCACGCCCCGGGACGAGTCGAAGCTTCAATATGTTCTCGTAGCTGCTTTGAAGGGGCCACCAACCTGGGCACGACTCCTCTCGACCTTTTGGGAGGCCCCGAGAGGCGCCGTGTGGGCGCCCGCTGGGCCGGGATGTGCGTCGTCATAGGGTGTTTCCAAAGCTGGGGCGTTCTGTTATTCACCCGGTCTATGGCTCGAAAAGAGACGCGAGGAGTCCTATGTTGCCAATGCTCAACACATGGCACGCCAACCAAGTCTTAGGGAAACAACATGACCCGAACGCTGACTTACGCGTTACTGTCCTTCAGTTCTCAGGTGGTGAGGTCATGTGAGGTCGACGGTTGCAGTATTATGACTCCAATATACTCCTTTCATTAATCATCCAGACCACAAGGCCCTAGACTAGACCGTAAAGCCTAAACCCTAGAAGCGATGGCCTCCAACCTAGAAGCGATGGCCTTCGAGCTTAGCTCGAAGGCCAACCACTGGCAGTTTCTATTGTTCCAAAGCCAATGTCACATGTCGACAAGAACTTTGGCACGCGCAAGTGATCCATCCTGGCACCCCCACCAGCTTTTCGCTTTGCAGGTGCAGCCTTGGCCGACAAAGAGTGCCACTGCCGCTGGCTAATCGCCGGAATCAAACCAGTCCCACATCAACATCTGCAGGTCCGGCGCCATCTCTGAAACGGCCTGGGCCTGGGTCCTGTGACACCATAATATCTACAAAATCAAGAAGGCCTGGGTTCATGATTGTCTCTGTTGCCATCTGACACCGTTTTGGCATGTGTGCTGTAGTTAAATCGGGCATACAATTGCAGTAATTACATCTTGAGCTGAGACACCGCCCTCGCCACCTCAGCCTCCTCGTCCTGCTGAAATTAGAAGTTGTGGATGAGTCTTGCAGTCTTGCCTGTGATCCGAGGGTGCTTATATATATATAGCCTATAGTTCACCCCGTCCGTTGTACCCAAACAAGCTATTATCCAGTGTTAAGTGAAGTGAAAACTACAAATATATACACTGGGGAGAGTTTAAGCTCTGAGGTTTCCCAGAGCTCCAGTCCAAAAGAGTTATAAATATGTATACAGTATACAGTTGATTTAAATTGCAAACTTTGTAGCACAGTGTTGAAACCATTACCACAACATGGGGCCTCATCACCATTCCACCGACCGAACTGCATGTTCCTCACACGATTTGTCATGATTTGTCTAGAACTCCGCCCAAATATAAAACATCATAGCTATATTGCTACGACTACGAGGTGGAAGATCGCCACAAAAGCATTAATCAGCGGCATAATGTTAGATTGATTGTTTTGGAGATTGCTGACGGTTTCTGCAAGGCCGCATAGGATGCCATGACATGCTTCAGTCTGTCCTCTTCAGCCTCTCTCCCTGCTTGCTGCGGCTCCGCCATGGCGGACACAGCACAAGTCGCCGTTGCGCGTTTGTGTCTTGCGCAAAAGTCAATGTGAATGGGTTTGAGGCAAGCTTAGTGAGCTGAAATTCCATGCTCCATCTACTGGGTTCAAGGAGCTGCATATGTCATTTTGGTCAGAAGCTGTTGGATTATCAAAAACCGCCGACGATACCAAAACCTTCCAAGAGCGGCTTGTCAGGTTGCTTGTGCAAGGTACTGTAGCGGTTTCAAGTGCAAGTACGCCCGTAAGACCTCCGCTGACGGATCTTGTTGGCGGTGCGGTCTGACTGGAACTATTTCAAACCAAGGTGTCTCAGCTGTCCATGCCTGACAAGATTCTGGCTAATTTCTTTGATCCAGAAGCATCTGCAGTTAGTAGACCTGGGATGACATGGGGAAGTTGGTGGAACTTGCGTTCTTTGATGATTCTTTGCTTTGTCTTTCCAAGCATGCAGATGACTGCCCACTATGAAAAATGGGGAGAGTCATGGCAGAACCGTGCGCAACCGTGAGCAAAACTAAGCCTGAGACTCTACCCGATGTCAGTCCAAAGAACGGTCATCAAGGAAGGTTCTATCTCAAAGAGGTTCTATCCTTGGGGCTATGGGGACGCACGGTGAGGCTAATGTCGTCCGGTTGTGGGAAAGTGCTTGTTTTTGATATTTGAGCAGGTCGTGAGGGTGGGGGTGTGTAACTGTGGTCAGGGTGGTGAACAACATGGTACTTGTCGTGTTGCAAGCTTGGGCCGCCCAAAGCACTACACTTGGGATCATTCTTCATCCGGCTTCGAGGCCATGACACACTTCAATCGACCGCCAGCGAGATCCGCCTCCCCGCCAGGCACTTGGACGTTGGAGTAGGGCATCGGCGCATTGACACACGGTACCTAACAACGCCGACGATGGGCGATGCCATTGGTGGCTTATCGTGGTTGATCTGTGGACGCACGAAAGAACACACTACAGCATTATATCTTCGAATTCATGTGGGCAGCATGAAATACATGTGACATGGAATTGGAAGCCATAAGCACATGTGTAATACATGTGAGATATATGTGCGCATTGGAATTGGATGCCATTTTTTCCTTGCTCCAAAAGCACTTGGCATTGGGTTCGTCCCATCACCCATTGACCCACCGCCTGAGGTGCAGCATAGGCTTTGGGCCTCGCAGTCGCGTGCCTGACGTGGATTGACTGGACCGATGCGGACCACATCAAACTTCATCAAACCACATTAAACATCATTAAAATACGAGAAACCCCGAGGAAAAGGGAACAAAGTGGATCAGGAAGGGAAGAAGTGTCCTCTCCCAAAACCAACAAACTCGACTGAGCCAAGCAGGATCTGATTCTTGCGGCATCGACGGTATGCTCGCGCCTCCGTCCGCCGTAGCCAGGCTTGATGTAGCTGCCTCGATCGAAGCAAACGACTGGCTTCCTTGGGACGAGGTAGCGGAAGCTGGGAACGTGAGTTGCTCAAGCGGCAGCCGACGGCCGAGGAAAATGTCCATTGTGTAAGCACGTATGGTTATCTTCGGGGCGGGCTCCAAGAATTGAAAACCACCTTGAAAAAACAATGAGCGAGAGAGAAAAAAAGAGAGAGAGAGAGAGTGTGTGTATGTGTGTATGTGCGTGTGGAAAACCGTGGAAATGTCCAAAATTCCCACCGCCTTGTGCAGCAACCCTCCCCCTGGCTGAGCTGAAGGGCCAATGACGTCTGCGACCACCTGGGGAGCGTGCGTGCGTCTACGCACTGAAAGAAGGGTGTCAAGAATCATCCACTAAATGTCATATTAAAACGTACCTCGGCGTAGCTTCCCCATAAATCATGACAGAGTCATGCAACCAGTAACCAGGGCCACTGTGCTACAAAGGGATGATTCACACAGGGCTGGAGGTTTCCATTTTCTACTCATTTAGGGTTCAAACACCATCCAGGTGTAACCCTGGAATTTGCATGAACTTGAATCTTCCAACCATGTGAGGAGTTTGTAGGCCAAACACGCAGATGTCGCTCCGCATTGACTACGAGAACGACTCCTTGCGCGTGACCATCGGACTGTCCGAAGCCACCGAAGCCCAACAAGAAGTTGGTCGAATGATCGGTAGCTGGCGACCAGGTAATGCGACTATATATAGCAAAACCAAACATGAATAAATCACTAGGAATCAAAACAATTTTGCTTGGGAACATCATCTGTTGCTGCCTTCAACCAATAAACCACTGGAGTCGGGCTTGGACAATGCGGCTTGACTTTCAGATCGAGGGTCTTCCTAGGTAGGAACGGGAATGAGTGACCCTTTTCTTTCTTTCTTTTCTTAGCGACGGAGGACACATGTGGACACTTGGAAAGCCTGGTGAATCCGGCTGCTCCGCTGGAATTTCGCCTCTGGGGACTTCGGCTTCGGTGCGGGCTCGACCCCCCCACGTCACACCTGGAAGTCCAACGAGCCCGTCTTCTCGGTATCCAGGTGCTCGAAGAACTGAGACAAGTGCATCCCGGCCATTCGCCCACCACTCTCAAAGGCATTTTGGGGATATCACCCATAGAACTGCGGACCAACAGGACTGTTTTTCGAACAACATGGTGGGGTGTTTGTTGATCCGTCAAGCACCATCCGAGACTTCCAGGAATGCATCTCAATGTCCTTGGCAACTTGGATGTTCTTGCCACTCTTCCTGCAGTTCGTTCCAAGGTAACGCTGCCATAGAGCCACATGGTGGGCCACATCCAGCCGCCTTTTTTTCGCTTGAATCGGAGACCAACAAAAACAAGCAGAGAGTATCTTTGCCCCTCTGTAACGTCTAGATCTATGATAACATATGGTCAGTTTCCTTTCTCACGAGCTCTAGGAGCAGGAAACAGTACAATCATGCGCAAGCTTGTCCTTCACTCAGCCTTTTCATCTGCCTGAGCCAAAAGCCGGTGTTGGCATTTTGTGCGAACAAAATCCGCCACAATCCTGACAAACAGGATGTTTTGGACTAAGACGTTAACTCAAAGGCCTCACCACACCACCCTCACCGCCTAGTTTAGTGGCAGAGTTCAAGCAAGTTTGTAGCGTCGATCAAAGGATGCGTGTGTCTGTGTGTCTGTCTATGTGTGTGTGTGTGTGTGTCACATGGTGGGGAATACTGCTACTCCCTAGTGTCACAAATCTTCATCCACCAAAGGCTCATGGCCTCATGGCATCCTACCGGTGAAAAACGCATGCTTTCACCATGCAACCGCAACATCATTCACCTCCAGGCCCTGTAGCAAGCGCACGGCCCGCCGCCAATTCTCGGCGGTGCGGATAAGGGCCTGGAAGAAAGGGGCCCATGCTCTACAAAGAACTTGGAAAAAGCGGGAAGCCTGGAAATTCGGTTTGGAAGGTCTTACTTAGAAAGGTGGTCCCTAGATCATGACCCCTAGTTTTCATGGAAGGGGGTGCAGTGAACCTGTCTCTCACTTTCGAGGCCTTGGCCATGGCGAGTGATTTCATCAAACATCAAAACTCACATTTCTGCTTTTAGCATACAGCATACTCATCTGAATGTACAATAACATATTGGCTAGGACCATTTTTACAATAGCGGTCCCCCCCTCTCAGGTTGAATCAGGAAAAATGCACAGCAAAAGCAAAAGAGCCAATCCACCCTGAATGTGTCGCGCACAATAAATTGGCATCATGCTAAGTTACTCTGAGCAACCCACACTTAAACTTAAACCATTCCTATATTCCTGCTGTGTACTTGTTACTTGTTGGTCGGGGAAGCATGTCTGTTTACATGCATCATTCTTTCTCATAATGGATGTCAATCCTGTGAACATGGCCAACGGATTATGCGAAGTGCCAAGGGTGTCGCTACTAGGAGCAAGAAGCTATCAGCCCATCCCGCTCTCTCTCTCTCTCTCTCTCTGCCCCTCGCTCCGCCTGTCCGGCCACCGACTTCGCCCCCACTCGTTCCGCCAAGCCCGTCATGGACTCGCTCATCCGCTGAAGTGCGGCGCGCGCGGCGCTGCTGCCGTCGGCTTCGGCGGCCTGGGGGGGGCCCCAAAACGACAGCTTTGGAAGCCTTTTGAAAACCTAAGTGTACCTATAGGGCATGCAACCACGATTCAGCTTCAGTGACACGCCGCGGAGTTGGAGCGGTCGTGATTTGGAGTTCTGAGAAAACACAAGTCGCTCAAATTGAGCTGACTAGCAAAAGGCTAGGTCTGAATGGGTAGAGCTAAGCTTGCTACTGCATGACCTTAACTCGCTTAGTTCAACCTCCTACAGCTATATTTCATGCTAACTGAATTCATGTCTGAACCTACTATCCTCTCACCACTATTTGCTCTCCTGCTGCCTCCTCCCCATTCCAAGTCTCAAAGTCTTCTTCAGGCAACACGCCAGTGATAGCCAGGAAATCCTCGCGGGTAGGAGCTGGCAAATCCGGATTTTGTGGGAATGCTCTTGATTGTGGAGTTCTTTGTCCACATAGCCGGCAATTAAGCAATTAATACAAGTATATACGTAAGGATGCTATACTACTCAATTGTCTGGTTTCTGTGGAACATTCTCAACAGGCCCAGGGATTCCAAAGTTTGGTCTGAAAAAGCAGGTATTGGCTGCACCCCATAATTATGCATTCAACATTCAACTTCTGGACAGAAACCTCACTTGCTCCGCGCGCTTGTGCTTGTGGTTGAGCTCCTCTTCATCAAAGTAGAACTCACCTGCAACATTGAAATGAGTTGGGCCTATCCTATTACCAGCAACAGTGGATGATGATGATGATGATGATTATTGTTATTATTATTATTAATAGTAGTAGTAGTAAAACTATTGTTCAAACATAGTTATAATTCTGATAATTGTCTACTGATTGTTACAGGCTACAGGCAAGTTTGGACAGACCCAAGAGAATAGGTTCTACACCCTTCGCCCCTTCGAAGATGGCTTTCTTTTTACTTCTGACCGCGACCCGCCTGAGGCACCTGCGACTTCCAGCTCACCGGACACCGTCCACCAATCTGCGAACAACAAGGCTTCAGCGGCGTTCCTGGTGCGTTCCAACACTCACAGATCCGAAAAGGCTACTAATATGATCACATCAACAGCAAATAGCTGTGAAAATGACCGGACGGGACCGGACATCCTACCCATGATGGCTGGAAGTTCAAAACCGCTTTGTTAGCTCTAAGTCCCCTGCATGGCGCGCCCTTCTGCCCTTCTGCCTCTCTTGGATTCTTAAATGTTCCCTGTCAACATGAGAATTATGATAGATGTTTCATGTCCCAGGGAGGGGGGCCATATGAAGTTCAACAATGCAAAGGATTGTTGAGACTTGACCACGATCTTGACTAGAAACACCCCCGGTTAAGCAAACATATATTCAAACATTGCGTGGACGAATCGTTCTTTCCTCCTTCGTCCTCTCGTCCCGGTCTCCTCATGTTGATCCCCACGGCTCCCAGGGTCGCTGGGCTTTCGCCACGGCCAGCCCAGCCCTCATCGCCCATGAAGGCCCTCATTGGGCGCAGTGGCATGAATGAGGCGCAATGATTGAGATTCTGACAGTGTCAAGCAGGGGGTGACGAACAAAAAAAAAATTGTGACAATAATTTGATCTTGGAGCGTGAATGTTAGTCGTTGCTATTGATTATTATGGTAATTGCCTTGGTTCACGAAGAAAGGAGTCCCAGGTCACTGACGGCACCGAAGTTTGATGATTAAATTAGCTGACCTTGCTGGGCCTCCAACCAACAGCGAACGGCACAGGTCCTCAAAACCCCCAAAACAACTTGTTCCTTCTGTGCTGACGACGTAGCCTTGACCAGAGTCTAGGTTCTGCCGGGCACTAAACGAAAACAACAAGAACAACAAGAACAACAGCAACAAATATCGGCGGCAGTAGCAATTGCCGCCAGAATTAATCACAATCCAACAACAACGGAAAAAATTTGTTCGTAGGGTAGTGGTATGCTATGAATTTGAGACAAGCCCCTTGTTCGATGTAAGCATTGTCGCCAGGAGTTCTGGTTACTGTATACATTACTTTCTGACCAAGAGGCCCAGCTGTCAGCATGTCATCGGCCGCAAACCAAAGCTCATTGGCCAAGTCCTTGCGATCCAATGCCGATTGATCAAGGACTCAAGGACTGTTGGATTAGTGGTGCAAAGAGCTAGTCCGCTTTGTCGGGTGTCAGCTGACACCGTCTTCATTGTGTGGGTTCTTCCGTTGTTTGGCCCACTGCGACTTCCCATGGTAGTTAAAACGTACGTCGAACCCTGTCCAAGCAATCCATGGGACCATGGGACAAAGCCAAATTCAACATGCCCCCACATGAGTTAAAGGACAAAGAACAACGGTTTTATAAGCATCACGAACATCGGTGGAACCCTGGGAGTTCATCTGTCAATTCACACATTTTGAAGAGACAACTTGAAACAACGCAGTTCACACGTTGTTTCACAGCAAGTTGAACTGCTAGCCAAGGACCTGAGCTTACACGAGGCCTATGCCGAGCCTGCGCCACATTACCCGAAGCAAATGTTCTTCCACAACTAACCATTCATTCAGCTTACAGTGCAAACCTTTGAACCATTGGGCCAACAAAAGTCCCAACCTATGTTTGTGTGCCCTCAAAATCCTTCCCCACACCTCAAAGCAAGATGCAGTTCCAAAATTGTTAGAACAATAATCTCATCCTAATAACGTCACTCAACTGCCCCATCTGAGTTGAAAAAGAAAACCCGTTCTAAAATCATTATCCTAGGTTGAAATCACCGCAATTCCAAGCGGTGGCCATCATGTACCCAACATGCGCTCATGTATATGGTTGTATGTTGTGTATGCCCTTTTAACAGCCGCGTTCTTACTTACAGAGTCCAATGGTTCCAAATGTGAAGCTGAAAGTAGCCATCCTCTTGCACACAGAAACAAATTGCCAAGACTATACACCCTGGAAAGCACTTGGACAAGTGGTCAAAGTTGCAAAGGGGTCTAGCGCGGATCTAGCGCGGGTCTATCGCGGATCTAGCGCGCTTCCCTGCCAGTGCATGAGGCCACCAAACGTCTGTGATCAAGAACTCGCTTTCTCGTCTCTCAAACAGTTACTCCCTTACAAACAGTTGCCGCCTTTTTCAGCACGCGCTGCCTTTCAAACAGTTGCTGCTCTTGTGCCTGTGCGGGTGTGTGTGTGTGTGTGTGCATGTGCACCAATGAGTGACCATTACAATCAGCTCTTGTTTGTTAATCTTTTCTAAGTTACCTAAGTACTTGATCCTAGCGCCAAACCTAGCGCGAACCTAGCGCAACCCTGCGTTTTGCTAGCGCGACGAGGTAACATACCCACTTTAAACACCAGAATACCAAGCGGTGGCCAAGCGATTTCTGAACCTCTGGGAACATTCCTTACTTAATACATATTCCCGTTTTTTTTTCGACTCATCTGACAACCAATGGGCATGTTGAAAGATCCGCTAATCATCCCGATCGATCTGGGCCTCCTGGTGATGTGAGGCAAAACACCAACATGTCGACTCACCCGAAAACCATCCGCCACGCTGGCGGATGTCTGCAGTGACTGCCCTGCACCTGAAAAGAAACGAATAAGAACATGTTGCCAACAAATGGCAACAAACACTAACTAACAGCCGGCTTAGCATGAAAAGCAAGTCTTAATGGACAAAGGCCACGCATTCTTCAGAAACAATCAATAGGATTCTCTATCTGGTGAGGATGGCGTCACTTTATCATCACCCAGAAATTTGAGGGCTTAACTCCTTCGGCGAGGCTCGATCACAAACTGGTTCCCGTGCTCCGGGAGCGGTGGTTCCTGCCCACCTCTGGTGGCGATGTGGCAACATGCCACCGGTGGCGAAGTTCAACTGCAGGTTCCCCGTATTTTTTGAAATCATGAGGAGGAACTCAAAAGTCTAAACTGGTGCAAGCAATTCAAAACGCCACTTCCTAGATTCAACCAGGGATCCAGGTCAAGTGCGTGAACTTGCAACATCTTCTCACGGATGGAACCATCGGCAGGGCTGCCAAACACTTTGGAACCATGGAGAAACTGAACCTGACAGACTTCTCGACACAGCACGGGCGCCTGTTCGACCTGGCAAGGGCAGGGAGAAGTTCCAAAGGGACCTGGAAATGACGAGCAAAGAAGAGGTCTTGGAAATTTCAAAGCGTGGAGGAAACCTTTAAAGAAATCCAACTACAGTAATAGAATTGTTATAGAGATATAGCCATAGCCTATATTATAGCGATATAGTTCTATAGATTCTGAACTCTCATAGGTCGGACCCTATTCAAGGATTCACTGATCTGTGATTTGGGGCAAGGGTCGCTATTCAGTATCTGAGCAAGCTGCAAGCTGCCCCGCCATTCAGGTACACATGCCCACAACCTCTATGTGAAGCGATTTGGTACACCTCTATGTGTATTGACTTCTTATATGTTAACACATCATAAAACCACATCCTCACCAATCAGCCCTGGCAGCACACGAGCTGCAACAGCAAGAGCTGAACGATCCATCGGGCAGCTCGTCGACCGGCGCCATGCATTGCCGGAACAAAACCCGTCGGTGCTGTCGTCGTGGTGCTCCCGTTGCGGTTGAAATTCCGCATTGGCAGTGATGGCACCAACATCAAGTAGCCAAATGCAGTCTGCACTTGCAAAGTGACATGCTAATGCAAATCCCAAGTCCAAATCTACCTAAAGAAACATCATGTTCCAAGCATTAAACAGCACTTCTCGCAACAAATGCAAAGAACCACGGCATACGTTACATGTCTGCTTTCTCAACCTTATCACTTGTGGGCATGGTGCCACCTTGAGAGTACAAAGAGTCCGCGCACTCTAATACTTTCAGCACATTTAATACCTTATTCATCCTTATTCATCCTTATTCCAGTGCCCAGGGCACAGCCTCTCAAGTCAACTCATGAAAAGCTGCAAAGGGTAAGTGTCCAACAGGCCTCCGCCCATCAAGAAGCATGGAAGAACATAATCCCTATTTGTGACCTTTTACGGGCCTGTTCGTGACCTCAAACCAGGGGATCAAGAGGTCATTGGCAAGATGCAGGTAGGCAAATATTCAGTGATTAATATGGATTGTTAGGGAGTGGCATGATCTGAGATCCGTGGACCCAGTGATCTACCTAGCTCGTGGACCTTCTGACCTTCAAATCGTCACTTTTCACCACCGGGCGGCGTCGACCTGCGACCGGCCCATGGTGAAGATATGGACTGTACAAATGGTAGAGACGGTAACGTAAGCTATACACATGAACACACATGAACACACAACCAAATCAACCCAAACACCGACCATCGCCCCCTCCACACCGACGGTGAAAGGATGTACGCAGATCTTTCGACCCAGGATTGCCTACGGTGAAATCCTCATTGGAATATGTCAGGGCGCCCGGGTGAAAAAAGTAGCCACAGGCAGAAACAATCAAAGAGCCACAGTCGTATCATCTATGTATACTTCGTACTTGCTTGGGCGGTCCTACTACTTACTCCTCTAGTCCATAATTGGGTGAAGAGGCCCACCAAAATGGTATATATACAGTATATATATATATATGGATCCATCTGCTCGCCTGATCAGCGGCAGACTCAGGCATGTGGAAGATTCTGAGCAAACGCCGGATCTCGTCGACCTCCACCTGCACAACTCTGCAAAGACCCAGAATGCAGTGCCTCTTCATGTTGTATTGACCAGTGCGCACCTGGACCTCGCGGCCCTGACCTAAGGACCACACCTGAACATCCGGGTCCAAGGAGTGTCCAGCGTCTTTCGGCTCCATGCCCCTAGAAGTACTTCTTTCCAGTCCAACTCTTTGTTGAAAAGAGAAACAACTGCGATTCCATAACTCACCAACTTCGGAGCCGGTAGCATTGACACCAAATTAGTGCAAACTTGCAGAGTTGCAAAGGTTCAAACCGACCTGTCTGTGAATTTGTGATTGCATGGCTCCATACGTTTGTATGAAATATATCAACATTTGTTTGCATCTGTTGGTTGCTAAGCGAAACTAACAATGCTGGTAATTAAATTCAAAGCATTTGCTAGAACAACATACCGTTGTTGGGTGGCGTTGCCCTATCTTGAAACCCATCCACAAGACTTTGTGCCTGTGACTGCCAACTCACTCCATTTTCTGCGCTCAAAGACCATTGGTCCACTGCCAATGTCCCTTGTTCCTTCGGCTCAAGCCTATGACATTGGCAAGTGGTGGGCCACATCAAAAAACATGCATCCAGAATGCAGGACCGGCCAACTGACCACGAAGCCCAGTTGGAAGCCCCAAAGGCCCCAAAGGTGAAGCCCCATGATTTTCTAAGTGTTGCCCCGCAAGTTCTGCAGCTTCACCGCCCCGGAACTCCAAAGGAAAGGAGATCTCTCTGTGGAAATGGCCAAGTCATAAACGCTTCCACTCTACAACCCGGCGGTCTTAAGGGCCCATTTTACTTCTTGGGAGGATTCTCACAACTAGGCTGTTAGCAAGACCCCATATGGGGCCATCACTTCGTCCTGCCTTCAAAATCTGTTTGAGACGAAAACGCACATGGTCATCCACGTGTTTTCAGGGGACTGGCTTCTACTTTTGAATGGTTGGAACTTTCAGTGGACAGGGGTAGTGGGAGGTTTGCTGTTTTCATTTTTTGCGTGTCTCCCCTAAGCAAACAAGCACGGTTTGAGGCAACTATTGGCATCCTAGGCAGTGAGTGGCCGTCCAATGCTCTCAAAGGCCTTCCATGGCATTGAACACATTCTTGCGTAATGTCCGTCATGGCTTTGGTCCGACTCCGATCTTAGCATTGCTGGATGCTGGGTGACAAGTTTAAGCAGCGCCATTGAACCTTCGACCTTACCAGAACACAGCCAGAAAATGGCAGAAAAGCCTTGAGGAATAGACATGGTGCATCACCTAACAGCAAGGCCTTCCGCACTGAACCTCTTCCAACATTCTGATCTGGTCGAGGTCACACAAGCCTCCCGATCTCACGACTTGGTACATCAGCAGCCCACCGGGTGTTCAGCACACCAGGCAAAAATGCTGACCCTGACAGTAAAAGCTCTTCCCCTCTGGGGAAGGACAAACCTCCGGCCAGCACCTTTTCTTATAGGCTTCCAAACATGCAAACACGGACCGCGAACATATATGAGGGACGGTCAAAACTCCTTATTCTTCTTCAACAAACAAATGGACGTCATCGGTTTTGAGTTGGACCTTATCGTTTTACAGTGTTTTGAGTTCGTCGCATACTTATGATCATATACAGCGCTGGGGTTATCGGTTTTGAGGTGGACCTTATCGTTTTGCAGGGTTTTGTGCACAAACCTACCCCTCTTTACTAAAGTGGTCTTCGCATGTTTTGACCGTGGCTCATATGACTTTTATATATATATATATCACAACACATCACATCAAATCACATTCAAACCCGAGGGGGGCTTATGTCTTTTGTCAGATGCTCGGCATAAGCAAACCTCGGAGGTGGCCCCAGTTCTATTCACCTCATCCACCAAATCACCGAGTTGGACCACCGGGAACTGTGAAGTTCCTGGAGCCATGAAAATAGAAAACGTCACACACACACACAACCCCGGACCCCCCAAAAAATAAGAACAACCACAAGGGGAACCGGGAACCGGGGGAACCCCTCGAAAATTCTGGGCTAAACCCCCATGGATGTACATCGTCTTTCATTCTTGCTTGGGAAACTCCAAACGGATGACAGCCTGTTGCCCGAAGCTGCTGGAACGGCGCTGGCCGGCCAACCCAGTGAAACGGGGCGAATGGTTCGCCCATCGTGGTGATCGCAGGGCCAGCAAGGCATGGCAAGGCCGTTGAGCAAAGGCGATTGGTGGCGTTCCAAGGAGTCAGTGGCTGGCCCCAAACAAGTCTCCAAAAAGTTGAACTGTCCCAAGCAAATGGCATCCTTTCGAACAGGCACAGCCATGATGCAGGCCTCCCGCGCAAGCCCAGATCTCCCCATCTCAGGGGAGAAAGGCCATCAGCGACCTGTGTGACGCCAGGGGCCCCACCCCTGGAGAGGTTGATACAAAGAAAAACGATCACATGTTTGTATATAGTATAGAGTATGGAGATGTATGGAGGACATGTTTGACATTTTTTGGAGCCACTAGGTTCTTGAGGGGAATGCACATGGAAGTTCGACTTCAATTGGTGTAAGCTCTGCTGAGGTTGGATCCTGGGGCATGTTGAGGGAAACAAGTGAGCTTCAACTGGGTGCAAAGATCTTGCCTCAAGTCCTCAATGTAAAAACGTACCACATCGCGATTACCACCAGGAGTTCCAAACAGGTGCCTACTGGAGGGTACAGGTGCGCATGATCTACTCACTTGGGGACTAAATACTGACCCTTTGGAACTGGTGTGCAATTGTTGTACATAGAATTTGCTCACATCTCATCGCTTTAATTCTCTACCATCAGGGGCGGCTGATGGCTACAACCAGTGCTGTAAAGACATGCATAGCAAAACCAATATGAAAAGGGTGCCCGAACATCTACAAACACCGCAAAACCACCGCATGCCGCATGTCTCACCACCGCCTCTACCGAACAGCGCAGTTCGGCCCGAACGAGGATTTTTCTCCGATGTCTGGTCGATCTTAAGAATTCGGTCCGTTCTATATAATTCTACTTGTTCAACTTTAACTCTTGTTTCTAATGGCGTCCCTGTTACTAGTAGTACGGCCAAAAGCCCCTAGTAGCGTTCTTGCGTTCTTGCTCCTAGTAGCGATGCCCTTTGCTCCTAGTAGCTACAATTAGATACAACTAGTATTAGAATTAGAATCTGTTCCGTTTTCCTCATGCGCAGTTCTGTGTTCCTCCCATTCTTCCCCACCTCAGATTGACATTGGTATGCTGGCCTGGCCGGCGGAGAAGAAACCTCCCACTGGGTCACCATCACTGGGAAGGTCATGATTGAAGCCAAGCTGTGCAACAACCACTTCACTACGGTGTAGTGCACTCAGTTCAATTGAGCCGTCTCAGCCAAAATTAACTTCACGGGTGTGTCTTATCCAGGCAAAAAGATCCCTTCCCCAGCCGATGCACGGAACTCCTCTCCCATCCCATATTGCTACTAGTAAATTGCAGTCTGTCAAATCAGCCAAACATGTTGTCGACACCGACACCCATTTGAGAAGGATGAGAGTTGTCGAATCCGACGTTTCGCTTTCTAGCTGGAGGCCCATGGTCCAGTCAGTGCCAGTGCCTCAAGCAATGGGTGAACTTTCCGTTGCCAATCACAGACTTCATTAATCGTCTCCTCCAAACCTGCGGCACGTTCTCAACATCATCAGCCAAACGAGCAGTCTCTCTCTCTCTCTCTCGCACGCGCTCCTCCACCCCGCCCCAGAGTCGACCAAAACCTTGAAACACCCGGCCGAACGACGTTCTGGGCGGTCGGATGCATTCCGAGAGGCGCCGGTTTTGTCGATGGATCAAAGTGACTTCGTAGCCCATGGAGAGCATGTCGATGCTCGTAGCTGGACCCTTCATCCGCATACATCCCTTGACAAAGGTATCGATATCCACATATTTGTCCTCAGGAATGAGCTCCAAAAAGGCTCTCAGTAAGGCTCTCAACGGATGCTCGTGTCTG